CCTTAATTAGATTCTCACTGACCTTCATCCTCTTGGTAAGGTAGGAACCTATCCCAAGGAGCCTCACCAACCCTTGTCTACTCAGGAAAGTGAAAGCTTTACTTCACTTTAGATACAGTCTCACCACTTATCACCTAGCAAAGCAGGAGCTTCACTTCTGGATAAAGTCTCATTTACTCCAGAGCATACAGTATGGTAGGAGCTTTGCCCCTAAGTAGAATTTCTGACCTTTGTCTACCCAGTAATGTAAGAGCTTCAACTCAACTATGGTTTCACTGATTCTTGTCCATTGTGTGAGGCACGAACTTCAACCCCAAGCACACCATCACCAAATGTATTAGTTATTTTTCTGTTGCTGCGACCCTGACTAAGGCAACTTAGGACAGAAAGAGCTGATTTTGGCTTATGGTTCTAGAGGGATAGTGATGGGGAGGTATAGCAGCATGGCATCTGGAGCAGGAATCTGAGGGATCACGTTTTTCAAATGCAAGCATGAAGCAAAGATTGTGAACCCTCAAAGCCCAGCCCCAGTGACATTCTTCCAGCAAGTCCACACCTCCTAAATCTCCCCAAATAGTGCCACCAACTGGAGGCCAAATATTCAAATGCCTGAACGTATTAAAGCCACTAACCCTTGTCCTCCCCACAACACAGGAGCCTTATCCTGAGTTCAGTGCATGTGAGGCAGGAACACTTCCCAGATTATGATGGCAGTTTTCTCAGTGTGAGCTACAGTTCAAGAAGTGACCCCAGTGAGGAGAGGAAAAGCAGCTGATCAGAGGAAGCACAGTGCCAGTGGATTTCTGGGTCTGTTGTGCAGTGGCTTTTCTGTGGGATTTATCTGAGGAAGTCTTGGAGAACTTATCAGCCAAGAGTACAAAGACACTAGCCCAGTGAGCCCCAAACCCAGGCTAGGGTCAGAAAGCATGAGGCCTACAGTTCAAGATATGGAAGCTGTCAGAGCAATTTAATTTGAAATGAACACTGGAGCAGGTGGAAAATATTTCAGACAGTGTCCTTGGTCCTTACAGGATTACAGGGTCGTATAGAGACAGGGTGTCTCAGGCTGCTGTGTACTGTAGTTTGGGCTACACTGGAGGCCATGGCATGAAGAATACTATTTGCTCATCTTTTCCATAGGACCTTCCCATGGCAGCCATAGGCTTCACATGGTGCTTCTGAGGCATTTCAGATGAGGTTCAGAAATGATTATACAGAGGAAGACTGGGCTTCGTAGTCCTGTGAGCTTCCAGAAACAGCTGTAGATGTAACCAACAGTCTTATTAAATAAGAAACACAGAACCAATGTAAAAGAGAAAGCAGAGAGGTCAGAGCTCAGAGCTAAAATCTCACCCTTCCTCCTGCGGTGTCCCAGCTTCCCGAAAGAGAGCTATGTCCTGTCTGTCTGTCTTTTTATAGTATTTTGTTCTGCCTTCTCATTGGTTGTAAACCCAAACA